TGATACAGGGGCTAGGAATGCGTCAAGAACCCTCTTCAGATGGAGGTGAACGTATTGTTGTTTCCCTGCCAGTCCTTGAAGGTTTAGAAGATGTCCAGGAGGAGGAGGATGGGCTGGCATGCATGGTATGCCGGGAAGGATACAGTTTAAGGCCTGCTGATTTATTGGGTGCTTACTCTTACAGTAAGCGAGTGAATCTAGGTGTTGGTTCTTCAGGAAGTGCTCGTGGAGGAGAGTGTGTTTACACTACAGTAAGTTACTTCAATATTATTCATTTCCAGTGCCATCAAGAGGCCAAGAGAGCTGATGCTGCTTTGAGGAATCCAAAGAAAGAGTGGGATGGGGCAACACTTAGAAACAACGAGTCTCTTTGTAATTCGTTATTCCCAGTCAGAGGTCCATCTGTTCCTCTGGCACAGTATCTTCGCCATGTTGACCAGTATTGGGACAACCTGAATGCACTTGGACGCGCTGATGGAAATAGGCTCCGCCTGCTGACTTATGACATTGTTCTGGTATGTTACTCAACTGCAATATGTTTGTTCTTTTCCTGTTTCTGAGAGGGGGAGTTTGGCTGTTAAGATTGTGATGATAAAAGTAATAATAATAAAAGGTTAAAAGCTTAAAATAGATCAGGGATTCTTGTCTGTACCATTTAACAGCATATGCAAGTGTTTCATTTGATAACTGAATTTCTTGGTTCCAAGGTGTGATTACATTTATCTTTGCACTTGCTTGAATCAAGTGATTATTGTATGGCTGGTGTTCATGCAATTTTTCCCCTATCTTTGTAGATGTTAGCTCGGTTTGCAACAGGAGCATCGTTCAGTGCAGATAGCCGAGGGGGTGGACGGGAAAGTAATTCCCGGTTCCTCCCATTTATGATCCAAATGGCACGCCATCTACTTGATCAAGGAAGCCCCTCCCAGCGTCGCAATATGGCCAGGGCAGTATCAGCATACATATCCTCTTCCTCGTCAGATGTCAGACCCTCTTCTCCATCTGGCACCCAACCTTCATTGGGCACCGAAGAGACTGTCCAATTTATGATGGTAAACTCATTTCTCTCAGAGTCTTATGAGTCCTGGCTGCAGCATCGCCGTGCTTTTCTGCAGCGTGGAATTTACCACGCATACATGCAGCACACACATTCTCGTGCACCATCTGTTACAGCTCCTCCACAAGGTGTAGAATCTGGAAGCATTGGCCAAAGTGCTACAGCAGAAGCAGGGAAGAACGATGATCTTTTGTCTATTATTCGTCCAATGCTTGTCTATACAGGCTTAATTGAGCAGTTACAACATTTCTTCAAGGTCAAGAAATCAGCAAGTGCAATACCTGCAAGGACTGAAGGGGCTTCATCTACAACAGAAGGGGAAGATGAAAATGGAACCCTGGAACCCTGGGAAGTAGTTATGACAGAGCGACTCTTGAATATAAAGGAGCTGCTCGGATTCCCCAACGAGATGCTGTCATGGCTTGATGACATTAATTCTGCCACGGACTTGCAGGAGGCCTTTGACATAGTTGGTGTTCTTGCTGAGGTGTTGTCTGGTGGGTTCACCCGGTGTGATGATTTTGTGCAGGCTGCAATTAATGCGGGGAAAAGCTGAATATTTTTGTGTTTCTCATTCGTAATAGTGAAATATTAAACAGCTCAACTCCTACTCTGAGGGAATGTAAAACGCTTGGCTACTATGTTCTTTTGAACGTACGAAGCCGATGAAAATGCAAGGGGACCTGCATATTGTGATGGTGTGCCAAAAAAAACGTTCTTTTTTAATGCTTCATTCGATAAATCCCCGACCCAGATCAAACTTGCCTATGCGACTACGTAACATAGAGGACAAAGAACTCCCAAGAACAGCTAATTTCTGGCAACATAACCCATATGGAATCTCCCTCTAAATCGATTATTACATATAAACGTAAGAAATTACACGTCGTAGTTTCAAGGGTATGACATCCAAAAGCAAGAAACAAATCGTTTATTATGATTTCTCATCAGAGACATTTGTTAACTTCAACGGTAGTCTGTAGGAAGCACTAACCTCACCCTGTATGGATTACAATGCATTTCGGTGGGAAGTATTATGAAATACACGGAATATCCCATTTGTTTTATGAAGAAAAATAAATAAACTTCTAATAAATTTTTAAACAATTATAGTTCATTTTCATGAATCTGGTTGTCATTAATTTTTAATCGGAAGCAAGAGAGTATTGCAAACAAAAAACACTAATTTTGAAATTAATAATAAGATTTAACAAAATACAATTTGATTTATGCAGATGTTTTTCTGTTTTCGCTTACTCATTTATAGTTTTACATTTTTAAAAATATTATTCAAAAAGAAATTAAGAATATATTAAAACTGGTCAATGACTTTTTTTTTTAAATATTAACAAAGGTGCTAGTCGTTGTTTTGCGACAGCTTCTTCCTTCCCTTTATAAATTTTCTTCTGCACCCATATAAAAAAATCATTCTTTTTTCTTTTTTGGATTTTGTAATTTGAAAGTTAAAATAGCTTCTAGGTCGTGTGTGACATCCCAAATATATAATAACAACAATCATATAATACAGGCGTTAACATCCAAATAAAGAGAACAGTTAGAGTATGACTTGTAGTTAAGTACGGAATTACAGTCATCCAAATAAGAAGACAGAATTTTTAACTTAAACAGTTTAGAGTATTCAACACTTCAAGTGTTCAAATAGGAGATTCCTAAGTAGATTGCACTGCAGCATCAGTGTCCTCTAGTTCTTGCTCCAAAGGTATCTCCTCAACAACATCTGCTCTCATCCAAGTGGATGATCATCGCAAAGGATAACATACACAAGCATCACACAACAAAGAAAGCAAGGGTGAGCTAGATAACTAAGCAGTAATCATATAATTCAATCAATAAATATCATCGTTCTTAGCTACATATAAAGAACAATTAAGGCATACCACTTTAGACCATGACTCAAACACTCACACGACTCATCCGGATTGGTATAACTGTCGAACTATTGGTCGTCTTTGCACTTTCGTAGTTCATCTGGCACTCCCCAACACTATGCAAGGTAAATCCCCCATTTGTCTATGTCTAAACTCTAAGACTATAGACGAGGACCTCCCTCTACTCTCACCACTTACACTGCTCTCCTTTATTTGAGCATGAACAGTGCTTCGAGTGTAGGGATAGACATACCAGTTCAAAGCTCCATACAGTTATACAGAACAACAACAACACCCCACACATCACTTTCAATCATCTCACCCTGAGATGTCCAGTTCACACTCAATTTCATCATTTCAATTTGCAGTCACATTATTTCAAGCCACACAATTCAAATATATGGACATACATACATCCTGGCAGTCAAACAACATCAAATAGCTCAAACAGATGTGGAAAAATATGAAACTCACTGAACCAGGTCTCACAACGCACCAAGATGCAAGACATGACAGCAAAAATTCACACAGCGCACCACCCTTGATGCACTGAGCGAATTTTCCTGACGGGGGGAGTGTTTTTCAGCTAAAATTCGCACAATGCACCCCCCTTAATGTGCTGGGCAAATTTTCATGACAAGAGGACAACTAAAATTCGCATAGCGCACCAAGTTTGTGCGCTATGCTAAACTAAAATTATAATACACATTATCAGTCCATAAACCCTCGCATAGCGTCCCTAATTCGCTATTCGAATTAAATGGGCAGTGATCCCAGACCACCACCAGTCGCATAGCGACATGATTCGCCATGTCGAGTCCAAAAACAGTGAGCATCACCCTCTTGTAATTCGCACAGCGTATCAACTCTCTCAGCGAATTACCAAGACAGTGAGCACCCTCTACAGGGCTATGCGAGACAACTCGCATAGCGACACTGCAGAATCTGCAGAACGTGAATTCTGCAGAATAACACACTCACACTAATCCTTACCATTTTCATTTATTTTCCCCAACTTCTAACTCTCCTAATTCTTGTATCACACCTAATTAAACTTGTCTAGATGATTATAACCATTCTTAGCATGATTCTAATGTGATTACTACCAAGTTTTCAACTTAATTTTCCAAGTTCATTAACCCAAGGACCCAATTATGATTCTACCATTTTAAACATGACTTTACTCAGTTTTATGACCCTAACCTGTTCTAATTGATTCATACAAGCTAGCCACACTGTCCAATTGCACTCAAGACCCCCTATGCTCAAATTCCCTACCTCAGTTCCTCTCAAAGGACTAAAAACAATACTCTCTTAACCTTTTACTCATCTAACATGACTAACACGAGATTTCCACCTCAACCACATCTCCCTAACCCAATTGGTCATCGGAGAAGAATCAGATGTTTGAACGCATCAGTCTCACCTTCGACGCCAGCACATATGACTAGTCACAACTGACTGGACCAGGCCAGGGCTGCTCTATGATCAGGGATGTGCCAACTCAGGTTTTTAAGATTCTTCTATCCTACCAACAAAGTGCTCTCAACAAGTCACAATTGATCCCTCCAAATTGTTTCAACACTGTAACTCATCCTAGACCTCTGTTACTCAAAATCACTATGTCACTTCCCTTAAATTGACCTGGACTACTACCAATTTACTCAGAACAATGCATACTTACCTTACCTTCCATCTAACCCTCCTTTGACAGAACCCAAACCTTAAACTTATCACATTTGAAATATTGCTCACTCCAACCAAAACCACAGTCCCCAATTCACATCATAACAACTTACAACAATACATTTTTACATGCAAAATTTCCAGCATCACAACACCAGCCAATTTATATTCAACAGGTACATCAACAGGAACATAACAATTTAATTCAACACACCAATTCAGGATTCAACATGCATATATCTCATAAATTAATTTCAAACAAAATAACTAGCTCCCCTTACCTTNTTTAGGAGAAATCCTATTTCATTATTACTTACTAGAGTAAGACTACTCTAACTACACATCAGGGTTCTTTTCAATGAGAATGATATTGTTGTTCTATTGTAATTTTTCACTGGGAATGGTTCTTTGATATTATTTTTTCTTCATTCACAATGACCAAACCATGCCATTGTACTTGATAGCCTCTTAGTAGTTGCTTTGATGATTAATGTGATGTTTTGTTGGACAAGGCAAGCATATCAAATGAAAACTACTTCAGTTTGTGTAAAATGCTCATTTTCATTTTCCAGATTTATTCATGCATTGTTTCTGATGTTTTGGTAAAATCTCTAATCCCGCAGTTTGCAACCTTAACATTGATAATATGATTTTCACACATTTTTCTGATCTACAGCGTCTGCGAGATGATTTCAAGTCCAATCAGGAGCAACTGGTTGCAGTTCTTAATCTTCTTATGTACTGTTGCAAAATCAGAGAAAATAGACGAGCCTTGTTGAAGCTAGGAGCTTTAGGTTTGCTTCTTGAGACTGCAAGGCGAGCTTTCTCAGTTGATGCCATGGAGCCAGCTGAAGGCATACTTTTGATTGTAGAAAGTCTGACCTTAGAAGCGAATGAAAGTGACAATATAAGCATCACACAAAGTGCCCTTACTGTCACTAGTGAAGAAGCTGGAACAGGTGAGCAAGCCAAGAAGATAGTTCTAATGTTCTTGGAGAGATTATCTCATCCATTGGGGCTTAAGAAATCAAACAAACAACAGAGGAACACAGAGATGGTTGCTCGAATATTGCCTTACTTAACCTATGGTGAACCTGCAGCTATGGAAGCTCTTATCGAGCATTTTAGTCCTTACTTGCAAGATTGGGGAGCATTTGACCATTTGCAGAAACAACATCTGAATAATCCAAAGGATGATAATATTGCTCAGCAAGTTGCGAAGCAGAGATTCACACTGGAAAATTTTGTTAGAGTTTCAGAGTCTCTCAAGACAAGTTCTTGTGGAGAGAGATTAAAGGACATTATCCTAGAGAAAGGTATAACTAAAACGGCAATAACATATTTGAAAGATAATTTTTCCAATACAGGGCAGGCTGGATTTAAGAACAGTGCTGAATGGGCACAGGGTTTAACACTGCCATCTGTCCCCCTTATATTGTCTTTGCTGAGGGGTTTATCAATGGGGCATATGCTCACTCAGAAGTGTATTGATGAAGAAGGTATCTTACCCTTGTTGCATGCATTGGAAGGAGTTACAGTAGTAAATGAAATCGGGGTAAGGGCTGAAAATTTGTTGGACACACTATCTAACAAGGAGGGGAAAGGAGATGGATTCTTAGAGGAAAAGGTGTGTAAGCTGCGGCATGCAACTAGGGATGAAATGAGGCGACGGGCTCTACGGAAGAGAGAGGAATTGCTTCAGGTATTTTATATAAAACCTTTATTTACTCACTTGAGTGTAAAGACAATAGTGTTTGAAATGGTAAAACTAAGTTAACCGTTGGGTTGTTTTCTTGGTTAAGCATGTTCTTTGTTTGGAAAAAGTGCATTGGGGATTGTCTAAGTGCTTACTGTTCCAGATCGCATGTTTCTCTATTTTTATTCCAACTTCCAAACATAATGTTTTGATATGAAATTAGCGATTCTTCTTCTGATGTCTGTCAATAGAAAATGCTGATTTTAGTTTGGTGGAACTTTTCTGCCGTTTTCATATATTTCTTGTTTACTGCTTTCCCTCACCAGATTGAATTTGAATTTTCGTTCAGATTTGACAAATTCATATGGCATGATATGTGTGTGTGTGTGTGTATATATATATATCGGAATCTGATTTCTTGTTCCCTTTTGACTTATCCGTTATGCCTGATACAGGGGCTAGGAATGCGTCAAGAACCCTCTTCAGATGGAGGTGAACGTATTGTTGTTTCCCTGCCAGTCCTTGAAGGTTTAGAAGATGTCCAGGAGGAGGAGGATGGGCTGGCATGCATGGTATGCCGGGAAGGATACAGTTTAAGGCCTGCTGATTTATTGGGTGCTTACTCTTACAGTAAGCGAGTGAATCTAGGTGTTGGTTCTTCAGGAAGTGCTCGTGGAGGAGAGTGTGTTTACACTACAGTAAGTTACTTCAATATTATTCATTTCCAGTGCCATCAAGAGGCCAAGAGAGCTGATGCTGCTTTGAGGAATCCAAAGAAAGAGTGGGATGGGGCAACACTTAGAAACAACGAGTCTCTTTGTAATTCGTTATTCCCAGTCAGAGGTCCATCTGTTCCTCTGGCACAGTATCTTCGCCATGTTGACCAGTATTGGGACAACCTGAATGCACTTGGACGCGCTGATGGAAATAGGCTCCGCCTGCTGACTTATGACATTGTTCTGGTATGTTACTCAACTGCAATATGTTTGTTCTTTTCCTGTTTCTGAGAGGGGGAGTTTGGCTGTTAAGATTGTGATGATAAAAGTAATAATAATAAAAGGTTAAAAGCTTAAAATAGATCAGGGATTCTTGTCTGTACCATTTAACAGCATATGCAAGTGTTTCATTTGATAACTGAATTTCTTGGTTCCAAGGTGTGATTACATTTATCTTTGCACTTGCTTGAATCAAGTGATTATTGTATGGCTGGTGTTCATGCAATTTTTCCCCTATCTTTGTAGATGTTAGCTCGGTTTGCAACAGGAGCATCGTTCAGTGCAGATAGCCGAGGGGGTGGACGGGAAAGTAATTCCCGGTTCCTCCCATTTATGATCCAAATGGCACGCCATCTACTTGATCAAGGAAGCCCCTCCCAGCGTCGCAATATGGCCAGGGCAGTATCAGCATACATATCCTCTTCCTCGTCAGATGTCAGACCCTCTTCTCCATCTGGCACCCAACCTTCATTGGGCACCGAAGAGACTGTCCAATTTATGATGGTAAACTCATTTCTCTCAGAGTCTTATGAGTCCTGGCTGCAGCATCGCCGTGCTTTTCTGCAGCGTGGAATTTACCACGCATACATGCAGCACACACATTCTCGTGCACCATCTGTTACAGCTCCTCCACAAGGTGTAGAATCTGGAAGCATTGGCCAAAGTGCTACAGCAGAAGCAGGGAAGAACGATGATCTTTTGTCTATTATTCGTCCAATGCTTGTCTATACAGGCTTAATTGAGCAGTTACAACATTTCTTCAAGGTCAAGAAATCAGCAAGTGCAATACCTGCAAGGACTGAAGGGGCTTCATCTACAACAGAAGGGGAAGATGAAAATGGAACCCTGGAACCCTGGGAAGTAGTTATGACAGAGCGACTCTTGAATATAAAGGAGCTGCTCGGATTCCCCAACGAGATGCTGTCATGGCTTGATGACATTAATTCTGCCACGGACTTGCAGGAGGCCTTTGACATAGTTGGTGTTCTTGCTGAGGTGTTGTCTGGTGGGTTCACCCGGTGTGATGATTTTGTGCAGGCTGCAATTAATGCGGGGAAAAGCTGAATATTTTTGTGTTTCTCATTCGTAATAGTGAAATATTAAACAGCTCAACTCCTACTCTGAGGGAATGTAAAACGCTTGGCTACTATGTTCTTTTGAACGTACGAAGCCGATGAAAATGCAAGGGGACCTGCATATTGTGATGGTGTGCCAAAAAAAACGTTCTTTTTTAATGCTTCATTCGATAAATCCCCGACCCAGATCAAACTTGCCTATGCGACTACGTAACATAGAGGACAAAGAACTCCCAAGAACAGCTAATTTCTGGCAACATAACCCATATGGAATCTCCCTCTAAATCGATTATTACATATAAACGTAAGAAATTACACGTCGTAGTTTCAAGGGTATGACATCCAAAAGCAAGAAACAAATCGTTTATTATGATTTCTCATCAGAGACATTTGTTAACTTCAACGGTAGTCTGTAGGAAGCACTAACCTCACCCTGTATGGATTACAATGCATTTCGGTGGGAAGTATTATGAAATACACGGAATATCCCATTTGTTTTATGAAGAAAAATAAATAAACTTCTAATAAATTTTTAAACAATTATAGTTCATTTTCATGAATCTGGTTGTCATTAATTTTTAATCGGAAGCAAGAGAGTATTGCAAACAAAAAACACTAATTTTGAAATTAATAATAAGATTTAACAAAATACAATTTGATTTATGCAGATGTTTTTCTGTTTTCGCTTACTCATTTATAGTTTTACATTTTTAAAAATATTATTCAAAAAGAAATTAAGAATATATTAAAACTGGTCAATGACTTTTTTTTTTAAATATTAACAAAGGTGCTAGTCGTTGTTTTGCGACAGCTTCTTCCTTCCCTTTATAAATTTTCTTCTGCACCCATATAAAAAAATCATTCTTTTTTCTTTTTTGGATTTTGTAATTTGAAAGTTAAAATAGCTTCTAGGTCGTGTGTGACATCCCAAATATATAATAACAACAATCATATAATACAGGCGTTAACATCCAAATAAAGAGAACAGTTAGAGTATGACTTGTAGTTAAGTACGGAATTACAGTCATCCAAATAAGAAGACAGAATTTTTAACTTAAACAGTTTAGAGTATTCAACACTTCAAGTGTTCAAATAGGAGATTCCTAAGTAGATTGCACTGCAGCATCAGTGTCCTCTAGTTCTTGCTCCAAAGGTATCTCCTCAACAACATCTGCTCTCATCCAAGTGGATGATCATCGCAAAGGAGAACATACACAAGCAACACACAACAAAGAAAGCAAGGGTGAGCTAGATAACTAAGCAGTAATCATATAATTCAATCAATAAATATCATCGTTCTTAGCTACATATAAAGAACAATTAAGGCATACCACTTTAGACCATGACTCAAACACTCACACGACTCATCCGGATTGGTATAACTGTCGAACTATTGGTCGTCTTTGCACTTACGTAGTTCAACTGGCACTCCCCAACACTATGCAAGGTAAATCCCCCATTTGTCTATGTCTAAACTCTAAGACTATAGACGAGGACCTCCCTCTACTCTCACCACTTACACTGCTCTCCTTTATTTGAGCATGAACAGTGCTTCGAGTGTAGGGATAGACATACCAGTTCAAAGCTCCATACAGTTATACAGAACAACAACAACACCCCACACATCACTTTCAATCATCTCACCCTGAGATGTCCAGTTCACACTCAATTTCATCATTTCAATTTGCAGTCACATTATTTCAAGCCACACAATTCAAATATATGGACATACATACATCCTGGCAGTCAAACAACATCAAATAGCTCAAACAGATGTGGAAAAATATGAAACTCACTGAACCAGGTCTCACAACGCACCAAGATGCAAGACATGACAGCAAAAATTCACACAGCGCACCACCCTTGATGCACTGAGCGAATTTTCCTGACGGGGGGAGTGTTTTTCAGCTAAAATTCGCACAATGCACCCCCCTTAATGTGCTGGGCAAATTTTCATGACAAGAGGACAACTAAAATTCGCATAGCGCACCAAGTTTGTGCGCTATGCTAAACTAAAATTATAATACACATTATCAGTCCATAAACCCTCGCATAGCGTCCCTAATTCGCTATTCGAATTAAATGGGCAGTGATCCCAGACCACCACCAGTCGCATAGCGACAAGATTCGCCATGGCGAGTCCAAAAACAGTGAGCATCACCCTCTAGTAATTCGCACAGCGCACCAACTCGCGCAGCGAATTACCAAGACAGTGAGCACCCTCTACAGGGCTATGCGAGACAACTCGCATAGCGACACTGCAGAATCTGCAGAACGTGAATTCTGCAGAATAACACACTCACACTAATCCTTACCATTTTCATTTATTTTCCCCAACTTCTAACTCTCCTAATTCTTGTATCACACCTAATTAAACTTGTCTAGATGATTATAACCATTCTTAGCATGATTCTAATGTGATTACTACCAAGTTTTCAACTTAATTTTCCAAGTTCATTAACCCAAGGACCCAATTATGATTCTACCATTTTAAACATGACTTTACTCAGTTTTATGACCCTAACCTGTTCTAATTGATTCATACAAGCTAGCCACACTGTCCAATTGCACTCAAGACCCCCTATGCTCAAATTCCCTACCTCAGTTCCTCTCAAAGGACTAAAAACAATACTCTCTTAACCTTTTACTCATCTAACATGACTAACACGAGATTTCCACCTCAACCACATCTCCCTAACCCAATTGGTCATCGGAGAAGAATCAGATGTTTGAACGCATCAGTCTCACCTTCGACGCCAGCACATATGACTAGTCACAACTGACTGGACCAGGCCAGGACTGCTCTATGATCAGGGATGTGCCAACTCAGGTTTTTAAGATTCTTCTATCCTACCAACAAAGTGCTCTCAACAAGTCACAATTGATCCCTCCAAATTGTTTCAACACTGTAACTCATCCTAGACCTCTGTTACTCAAAATCACTATGTCACTTCCCTTAAATTGACCTGGACTACTACCAATTTACTCAGAACAATGCATACTTACCTTACCTTCCATCTAACCCTCCTTTGACAGAACCCAAACCTTAAACTTATCACATTTGAAATATTGCTCACTCCAACCAAAACCACAGTCCCCAATTCACATCATAACAACTTACAACAATACATTTTTACATGCAAAATTTCCAGCATCACAACACCAGCCAATTTATATTCAACAGGTACATCAACAGGAACATAACAATTTAATTCAACACACCAATTCAGGATTCAACATGCATATATCTCATAAATTAATTTCAAACAAAATAACTAGCTCCCCTTACCTTGAAGTTGAGCAGCACAATCCCACTAGAACGCTCTAACAGTACCTCACAGCAAGGACCTAAACAGTGCCCTACAACCACTAAAATGTGATGGAAATCTCTCTTAGAGCTGGGATGGACAGAGAAAACAAAAGGACAAGCTACAAGATGCATGCAACCAGTAAAGTGGCATGTCCTAGGTTCCAAAAACAGTGGAGGAGAGGGGAAAACAACTTACCAGTCGGAATGAAGAAAACGTTCGGTAGAAATGGAGCTCTCTACGTCGCGGATGCTTGGGTCACACCAAAATCAAATTCCTACAGTTCTTTGAGCTGGAAATCTAGAGAGAAGACAGAGAGAGTTTAGGGCATGAGAGTTTTAGAGAGAAGAAGAAATGAAGTTCAGGGGAAGGGAATGGGTTCTAAAGAGCCCCTCCTAAGATCAAGTTGGCCTTAGTCTGATGGGTCTGGCTGCCCCACATAAGGCCCCCTTTTGTTAAATTTACATGCCCTTACATCATGTAGTTCAAAAGTTAATTTTTTTCTTATAAAAAACTTTCAAATTATACAATTTGAAAGTTAAAAATGATTTTCAAACAGGCTCTCACCGATTCTCAGTGGTTTACTACCAATGAAGCAAGAATTTGAGGATCTTATCCATAACAATACCTGGGACCTTGTTCCTTTTTTCCAAAATGGACAAGCATTAGGTTGTAAGAGGATTTTTCAAATTAGAGAGAATGTTATGGTTCTGTCAGTAGGTAAAAAGTTTGCTTAGTGACTAAAGGGTTTAATCTTGGTTGTGATTTTACCTTTTCTCCTATGATAAAGCTTGTTAATTATCATATGCTTGATTATTATTATTTCTCTTACGAAAATAAATAGGAACTATTTCAGTTAGATGTTAACAATTGGGGTTTGAAGATCATGATAAATCTCTTGTATGCAAATCCAACAAAGTTATATACGAAATAAGCAAGCTCCAAGAGAATAGTTTGAAAGATTCAAATAGACGCTTCTTTAGTTTGGGTATTTTGCCAGTAAGTATGTCCTCTTTGTTAATCTAAATACTAACATGAATATTTTATAAATTTTGGTTTATGCAAATCGTATTATAATTTCTAGTAATTCAGGTTTTTGGTTCAACAACTCATTTCTCAACTTTATTCTAATTTTTTTCTTAAATAATTGAAAAAAATAGATTATTTTCTTGGTATAAAGATCAACTTCATGCATGATGGCTCACTTTTTTTAACTCAGAAAATATATAAAAATCTCCTATAAGATACTAAGATGGATGAAACTCAATTTGTATCCTCTTGTATGATAACTCATTCCAAACCCAGTACACAACAGCAGCGTAAAACCAAAAGCAAAAAGTGTTGCACCATATGCCTGTGACTTAAAATAACTATTCTCACATGCTCTTTTTTTCTATGGAGAAAGGCTACTTTAGGATCACGGGAATTTATCACTTTGCCACACAACTTGCAAAACAACGTCTCTCTTCCCAAATCAACTGCATGTGACTGTCACCCACTTTCACAACGTTTTAAATTTTACCAACAAAAGCTCCTACACTTTTTTTCGATCATTCGCACGTTAACTGTTTAATGTTTTAATCTCTTCTTAGAAACAAGACTTACAAACAACCCAACATAATAGAAAATGTAGAAATCCTTAACTTTTGTTGGTTCATCTGTGAAAAAATTTCATTTTATTAGGTTGGTATTGTCTTCTCATCATCACTGTGCCTTTATCGTTAGTGGGCAATAAATGACAGAGTGGTCCTCTGTTAAATAATAATGTATATAATCATAAATTCTATCAGATATACAGTGTGGAGAGATTCCAAATACATGAAAATCA